TCGTATTGATTTGATAGTTTTTAGAAATGAAAGTTGTGAATTTTTCATACTATCTTTTGTGCAGCGTTGGTGTTTGTGAAAATCAAAGTAATATATAAAAATATATGCTGCCAGTTGTCCAATATTGTTAACTATTTAATTAAATTGAATCAATAAAGGTTGATTCTTGTTAATTAAATGGTGTTAATCATTTTAAGACACATGAATGCAACGTTTAAAGCATAACTATAGTGGGAACTGCAAAATAACACATGCATCCATTAAATCTTTGATCTGTTGTTATCCTAAATGTTGTTGCACTACCTGACATTTGCTATTATGATTTATATACTTTGTTGTCTATTTCTATTTCATTATTCGACCATACATCATTTGAAATCTTTCATACAACTCTGTTGTATCTGTTTTTGCTCTTTATGGGTTCGTCATCCGAAGATTTTATAGCTTCCACTTTATCACTTAGATATGATGTTGTATGCTTGCACTTTGCTGTAGCATTATCATAGCATGAAGTTTTTGGCGCCATTGACGGGGAGCATCCATTTTACATTAGAATTCATTTTATTATTTACTTATTTGTTTCTTTTCTTTTTATAGGTACTTATCTTTATTAGTATGGTTAGTTTATGCCCCTTAATGACAACGAGCTAGAGCCTTTCGATCTGGAAATAAAAAGAACACTCAGATGTCGTCGAAAAGAATATACTAGACATCAAGCAAACATGAACGTTGGAAATAGCAATAATTCTCTACCTCCGCTATAGTATGGCGGTGTTACTGAATTGTCGGCTGGCAATAGGGTTAGACCGTAACAATTTTACAACATGGATGATCGCAATCGACTTATTCGGGAGCATGTAGTGCCAACACTCGATGATTTACATCCTGACATCGTACGACCAGCCTTTTATGCTACTAATTTTGAGCTGAAGTCGGTGATGTTTCACATGTTGCAGTCTATAGGGAAATATGATGGTTCATTCATTGAAGATCTTATAGCACACCTTCGTGCATTTGTGGAGGTTTGTGACTCGTTTGTTCAACAATAAGTTCCAGAATAAGCACTAAAGTTGAAGTTGTTCCCTTATTCACTGCGAGACAAAGCTAGAGCTTGGTTGACATCGTTGCCACATGGTGCTATAGCATCATGAAACGAGCTATCATAAAAATTTATGTTGTGATTCAATCCACCAAATATGAATGCGAAGCTACAAAATAATTTGACATTTTTCAAACAACTAGAAGATGAAAGTTTGTATGAGGCTTGGGAGCGTTTTAAGTTCTTTCTGCGCAAGTGTCCAATGCATGGATTTCCGCATTGAACGCAAATGGAAATGATCTATAACGGGTAAAACATACACACTAGAATGGTGGTTGATACTTAGCAAATGGAGTGTTGTTAGACAAGGTATATAACGAGGCCTATGATATTTTTGAAAAGAATATCAAACAATGATTATCAATACCCTAACACGATGATTTGTTTAGGAGACACAATGGTGCAGTAATGATTATGATACTTTTAATTTCACGGCTTCCTAAATCACAACATTGACGGATATGGTAAGAAGTTACAAAAGCCGGGATATGTACAAGGTAAAGACAATATTCTTTCTATCATGTGTTTATTGTGGAGATGAGTATAACTATGAGGAATGCCCCCAAAATCCTGAATCCGTCTACTATTTGAGAACTATAATAGGAATGATAATTCCTATGGAAACAATTACAATGTCAACATCCGTAACCATCTCAATTTGTCTTGGAAGAGCCCAAATGTTGCAAATCCATAATAGCAACATTACAATCAACAACATACGATGTCCCAAAATCAATAACAACAAGCAATCCAACCACAACATCATCAAAATTATCAAGGACAACATTCAAAACAAGCTGCGACCTCAACATCGCTTGAATATCTGTTGAAAGAATTCATTTCAATAACTGAGGTAACAAATCAAAGACAAAACAAAAAATCAAAGGAATGAAGCTTTGATTATCAAAGAAATGAAGCTTTGATTCAATGTCAATTAGAATTGTTGAGGCCATTGAAAAATCAAGTGGGGCTGTTAGTGAATGCATTGAGTAATAAACAGCAAGGAACATTGAAAATCCAGAGCAACAAGAGAAAGATCATTGCTACGAGCATTGCAAAGCCATCAAAACGAGAAGTATTCCTCATATTGGGAAGCTTACTGAGGAGACTAAGAAGAAGGATGATGATGAGCCTGAACAACAAGATAAAGAAAAAAAATAGAAGTAGACCTTAAACCGACTATTGATGTTACAACAAGAGGGATAGGATAATGTAGTATTTATGGGGCAATGCCAACATCACTGCTTCATGTTATGCCACCACCAATGTCAAGACAGTTGAACCCATGGCCTCCACCACCGTTTCCCAAAGATTTAAAACACCAAGGAGGACCATCAGTTCATAAAACTCATCAAAGTGCTGAGACAATTGACAATCAACGTTCTATTGATTGATACATTGGAGAAAAATCCAAATTACATCAATTTCATAAATAAGGTACTTTTGAAGAAGGAAAGACTCAGTGAATTTGAAATTATTGCACTTACTGAAGAGTGCAGTGTCATGGCTGCGAGTAGATTGCCACCAAAATTAAAGGATCCATGGAGTTTTACTATCCCTTGTGTTATTGGTGATCGATTTGTAGGTAGAGCACTGTGTGATTTAGGATACAACATTAACCTAATATCTCTATTTTCAGGAAATTTGGCATGGGTGAGGCCTAACGTACTGTAGTAACACTTCAACTTACTGATCGAACGTGTTAGCCCAAGTGGAAAATTTATTTTTCCTATAAATTTTAGTGTTCTAAATTGTGAAGATGACAAAGAAGTGTCGATCATACTTGGTAGACCATTCTTTACTACAGGCAGAGCAATAATCGATGTTGAAAAGAGAGAACTTTCTATGCGACTTAATGACAAACACATTACCTTTAATGTTTTAAATCTAGTTATGAATTATGATATGTTGAATATCATTCTATTAACAACATTAATGAAATTGTGTAGGAACATATGGGCGAATATTACAACATTGAAATTGATATTTGTGATGTTGTGGTAACAAAGGAATTAGATGATGCATATCATAAAGAGACTAAGACAAATGAGGGAACCAAAGTTTCCATATTGATCCTAACATCAACTACAGCTCTACACATTCAATACCAACTACAAAGTCGCAACATGAGCAGCTGAGGAAAACTACAAATACTACCATGGTGTAGAAAAACACAACAACAACTAAGGCATCGAAGAAGGTCTCACAAGGCTCTTATAATGAAAACCCTTCCTGAATATTCAAACTATCAGCCCATACATTTATATGGTGACAATGAAGAAGTGTGCTTCATGACTGATTCCAGCAAGCAAGAGTATTGATGTGAACAATGTTACAATTCCACAAGCACAAGAACCTAGAGCATTGTGATGATGCCACAACAACTATCAACAAACATAAAGGAGAATCGTTTTATTGAGACCCATGAGAAGTTACCTCAAACTTCCATTTCACTATGTGAAATCATTTTTATACATGCTTTCAATAAGTCATTTATGACATTAGATTAGTTTTATTTAACAATTTTCTTTTGAGTTTTTTTTCTTTTAAGGCCTGGTTCTCACAATCATCACACCATTAGTCATCATATGTTGCCTCTGTTTTATAGCTCCATTTGGAGTTACAAACCACCATTTCCATCCAACACCCTTTTGAATTCCAAATTTTATCGCTACATAACATTAGTAAAACAACCATATAGTCATTGTTACACAACATCTTCACCGACTTTAGGGGAGTATTGTTGTCACTTCTCCCAAGTTTTGTTTTGTTTTGTTTTATTTGATTTGATTTGATTTTTCTCTTTGTTTTCATGCATTGAGGACAATGTATATCTCAGGTTTGGGGGTGTGTTGATCGGTTCTGATGTTACACTTGAATTTTTATTGTTGTTGTATTTGCATTTGTTATGTCATGTTTTGTGTTTTACATTGTTTGTGTTGTTCATTCAATTTTTTCATGACATTTAGATAGCAAGACAATTGTCAAGACTTTGCACTTACCTATAATGAGATAAATGTCGAGAATAATCTAATGTCGAGAATCTTAGAATTTAGAGATATCTTGAGATTGCCTTAATGACTCTAATGATGCTATAATTATTTATCGAATTTCATTCTTGGTTCACTTGTGGGTATTTTGGAGAATATTTAGTTATTTTACAAAAAAACACAAAAAAATAAAGAAAAACAAAAAAAAATTAAGTTCTGTGTGAATGCTAGAGGTGCCCAACTAGCTCTAGCCGAATAAATTGTTTACAACAAATTTTTAGCTCTAGAACACTCCACTACTAAGGCAAGTTTCGTACATTTAGTGAATGTTAAGTAGGAAAGATTGTCTCGAATAGCATGAGTGAATGAAAGTCTTCACGGGATGATTCTACCTAAAAGGCTAGGGGGTTAGTTGTTTACAAAATCTTATTGCTCAAGTACTGGTAGGTAGTTGTGATGAGCTAAAGCTCTAGTTAAACTAATAGTAATCAATGTGACATCTGTTGCTTTATTAATTTGATAATTATGATATTTGTTGAGTTAATCGATCGATGGAATCAGCCAAGAGGGGGGGTGAATTGGCAATAAAAATTTTGGTGGAAGCTTTTGCAGAAAATTGAAAATATTTGCACAACGATTTAGAGTGGTTCGACTTTCTCAACCAAAGTTTACATCCACTACCTTAGCTATCCACACTAAGGATTTTCCACAAATTCACTAATTTGTCTTTCTTTTGAGGACAAAGAGTAACCTTACAAATCCCTTAAGAATTATACCCCAAATTCTTGAGAACACTCTCTCCCAAAGAGAACAATACAAATTTTGCAAACTTACAAGAAAATCCTCACAAGGAAAGATGTTTGCACAATTCTAGAACAAAGAAAGAAAACTCAAGAATAATACAATTGAGCACAATAAGTGTTCTTGAAAGAAAAAATGAATATTCATTGGAATAGGCTTGAAAATGCTCAAACTTGAGGTTTGATGTTTTCTCTTTTATTCTCTCTTGATTCTTGAACATTGTTGTTGATCAATGGCTTCTAAGGTTGTTTAAATACTCATTGGATCATTTTTTAACATTGGGGATCATTAGTGGAGTTAATAGAGCCGTTATTGTGTGAAAACAATTAATAAAACAACTTGGAGCATTGGGGGGTATCGGTACCCTGCTGTGTAAAATTCAAATATTTCGACCATTATGATATGGGGTATCGGTACCTCCTAGGGGCTATCGATACCCTCCGAGCAATTTGTTATTTCTCGGAGCCAAATCTTACATTGGGGTATCGGTACCCTCCGAGCAATCTGTAATTTCTCGGAGCTAAATCTTACATGGGGTATCGGTACCCTTTTGGGGTGGGTATCAGTACCCTCCGAGCAATCTGTTATTTTTGTTTAAGATTTATTAAGAAAATATTTTTGGCTCGATTAAAGGCTCGAAATACTTTGTAAAATTGTTTAAAAGATTTAAACACACTTTTACACTTGAGTAAGGATTGAATTTGACATTTGAAAAACTTGGAGTAATATTTTGATATTCGAATAGTTTGATCGAATATATATTTGAAAATGATTAGAAAATCTTGAAATCCAATAACATTTAATTTGTTATATCGAAACATCAAAATGTTTTCAACAATCCCCTTTTTTGATATAACAAAACATTTTAGTAATTTTAAGATTTTCTAATTGAAAACATTTTTGAAATCAAGTTTTGAAAAATTACTCCCCCTTACTCTTAACACTCTTAACACTTCTCCCCCTTTTTGTTAAATCAAAAAGATTCTAAAACGTTTTTAATCAAGGGTTTTGGAAATTAAGTCAATTGATAGATTAATAAAGCGTAAGCTGCTAAGATCACAATCAAGAGAAATGTTAGCCATTAGATCCATAATCCAATATTCATAAACGAATGTGAAATGGAAAAATTGGTCATATAACTAAAATGATGTAAATAATGCATAGACTTAAACTAAACCAAATAAATATAAGAATTAAAAGTTAAACATTCAACATCCATGACAAATTCAAACAGTCAATCCAAACACATCAAAATGTTTAACAATTCAAAGTTCTAAATCAGAAGTTCTAAATCGAAAGTAGGCAAGTTCTACTCCATTGGAGGATCAGGAGGAGATTGATGTATCCATATATTGGCTACATCTCGTGTAAGCGCATCGAGTCTATCGCCTATAGCATTGAATCGATTATCCATTAC